GCCAACTGCGGTTGGGGAGTGGGAGACCAAGGCCCCCTGCAACTTGCAGAATTGTTCTTCCCAACCTGTGTAGATGAGGCTGCACCGTCTACTCGCCTTAGCGTCTTACTGTTTTTTGAGCTATGCGGAAACGAACTAAATGTCTGTAGCATCCGCATTCTCTGCATTGTCTTAGCCTTTTGCAATTTTTTGGGCTATGGAAACGGACTACATGTCCGTAGCACTCAGATTTAACCACACTGCCCGACTTCCATCCTATTTACGACTTCTTACGGGCTATGCGGAAACGGACTTAAGTGTCTGTAGCACTCACATTAACCACACTGCCCGGCTTCCGTCCTATTTACGAATTCATACTTGTTGTTCTACAGGCTCCTTGATAGGGGCTCGGGGGAGAATGAGTTTCGGGTTTATCCTTCTTCGTATACTTTTCTGTGCGCTTTGCGCCTAGCCCAAGAGACTTGCAATGCCTGGTCTTACCCACGGCGAGGTTTCCACTCCCCTTGGACGCCTGCAGAACCACGACTCTCCGCAGACCGACTTTGCTGTTTGTTTATCCCTTGCTGCTGCTGCTACTTCCCTTTGCTGCTCTGATGCTATTTTCTTTCACAGTCTCCCGGAATGCAGAAAGGACGGAATGGCTCTGGTCTCCTTGCAGATCAGACACCCTTTTCTGCCTGCCTTCTCTCTCTGGGGACTCTCCTCTCTCTCATCAGAAAACCTGCACCAGCTGCTGCTATCAGTCAGGTGTGCTGGCTCCTGTGTGACTGCAACATGGAATTTGTTGCGACCCTTAGGGCCTCCTCTCTCGTGCACAGGAGTGATCCCCTCACTGTCCTTCCCTGGCTGCCTGGTTGCTGATGTTCTCCCTGCTGGCCACAGTCCAAAGTCTAACCTGAGTGTTTTTTCTGCCACGGGTCTTCCCCCATCTCCAGGTCCGGTGTTTGGAGAATGTGGTCGAACTCCCTGACCAGATCCTGCACACTGCCATGGTCAGTCTGCGTGGTCAACTCATCGTAACGGGCCATGCCCGGTCTTGGCGGGTAACTGTTGTGTATTTCTCCCTAAACTTTTGGGAGAACTCCAGCCAACAGGTGTGCTTGACGTACTCGGCAACGTTCCCGCCTGGCTTTTGACGCCTCACTGTCCGTGCAATCCCTTGCTGTGTCCTGAAGCAATGAGAATGCAGCATGCATCTTGTCGGACTCTTTGGTTATGCCATGATAATCCATCTGTGCATAGATCACAATGGATGGGCAACATCCTCAGCCCTTTCGTCCTCGAGTTCAGGCGCCAGGTCCAACGTCAGCTTTTACGGAGACAGTTTGTCCTCGTCTACCCCAATAATCCGCGGCTTCCCTTTGGGGGATGGAGGCGGGGTACCATGTGGGGAGCTTTGCTTAGCTTGCAAGGCAAGCTATGGTGGCAATCATCTTACTGGCCATGGACGGCATCTTATCCTTCAACGCATCAGTTCATCAAGCTTCTATTCATACTAGACAGCTCGTTCGCATGAGTGGATTGTAGTGGTGAAAGCGCCGCTAACCTGTCGCTCACAGTATTGCTTGTTTTGCCGGCAACCCTCTTTGACTACGCTACCGGCTTCACCCGAATAGAACACCCGGTCATTATAGCTGTATTTGGCACAACTTTCAGCCCAGATATGGCGATAACTACTGGGCGTTCTATTCGGGTGAAGACGGTAGGCTTTTCCTCTGCTACTCTTTCTTCTCCTCCTTCGCTCTACCCTCCTGTGCAGCCTTCCTCGTGTCTGATGGAGCCAATGTCATCCTGCACACTTGCTGCCTTGCCAATGCAGTAACCTCATCCTTTGCTCTTGCTGCCTCTCCAGCGCAGCAATCTCATCTTTTCTTGGGACCCTCTTCTTTCTCTCGGGTGTTTGCACCCCGCTGGTGTGTAGGGTATCTCTCTCGTCTGCTGCCTTGTCGTGATCACGCGCTCTTGCTAATCTCTCCTTCAACTATGAACTCTGTTATAACCTCCTTGCTTGTCTTTTCACGGGCGGCTGTACGGCTTTTGGAAAACCATGTGGAACAGAATGAGATATGACACTCTACTGTTACTTGCTACCCGGTGAGGTAGATGCTGTCATGTCCACCGGCTGCCTTGCGATCATGCGCTCTTTGCCAATCTCTCCTTCTTTTTTTCTTTTTTCTTTTTTTTTAATATGCCAATCTCTGCGTCAACTGATAACTGTCTCATAATCTCCTTGCTTGTCCTGAGCAGCCTGCAACAACCCTCTCCCAGGAAGATGGCTTTGCCATTGGAAACTAGGTAGCAGCTGTGGCGTCATGGCTTGGGAGGTTCTGTCCCCTTCATGTGCAAAAACACAGCACTCCTCATTCCCTCCTCCTCTACTAACCACATGAATGAAACTGAAGTGAAAGTTCACCTCTTACTACGTCACTATTTTTGTCTAATCGTTTCCCCCCCGGGCCTGCTGGGGCATACTGGGCTTTACGTTAGAAAGAATTCTAGGAGTCTTCGAACCACCACTACCTGTCACAGGCAAATTCAAAACACCAATTTGCCACAAACCACGTTCTGCGGGTAAATGGTGCTACCGGATCAAAATGGCTGGCGGCACCAGAAAATACAAAACAGAAACACCGTGCTGGCTTTTCGGCATAGCTTGGCACGCGAGGGGAATCCTCCTGGTACAAAAGCTGTCTCTTATACACATCTAGATGTGTATAAGAGACAGGGCACACACAGTTCCTTTCTGCCTCGGCAAAAGAGGCTCGGAGATCGTGGTGGCTTAAGACTTTTGAAGTCCTATCATCCTATGAGTCTAGGGACAGCTGGCAGTGTTTCAACTTATTATGGGTCCCGGGTTCGGATCTGGCCAAACAGCAAAATAGAAACCACCTATATTTACCTCGCTGTTGGGCCAGATTGAGGGTTAGAGTCCTGCCTGAGCCCAGCGTTAAGCCCCATGTTTGATGGAATGTACATGTGAGGGACAAATATGTGGTTGTACTTTGAGAACAGTAGAAGAATGGAGAATCTGTAAAGTATCTAGAGATAAACCTATGGGGCATGAATGTTTTGCTGCCCTATGTTTGGGCAGAGCTCCCGAGTTCAAATCCCACCTGAGCCGAACGTTAATCCTTGTTTGGCAAATGCGTATGTTGATGGACAAATATATGTCCTTAGTGTTGAGGACGGGCGGCCGAGAGGGAAACTCTGAAGAATGAAAAGATACACGGTATGTTTTGCCGTCTGGGCCCTTTGGGGTACCGAAGGGCCGAACGCGCGTCTTGCTTTTGTTCGATTAACTGATTGGTTAGTATGATCAGGCTCACTCCTCTAGTCGCCAAACAGAAGTGAAAAGTGGCAAGTGTCCTTCTAGATAGGAAGTAATCAGTGCTGCTGTATCCGGCTCTCCCAACCATAATGGGGAGATGCATCAAGTGTCTATGTTGGATGTACGGGACACTGGACCTGTTTTTCCAGCATTCGTAATAGGAAAGAGTTTTTTTTTTTTGGTTTTTGGGCAGAGAAGTGGAGGGCGTATGCCCCCGTCAACTCAGATGTCGCAAAGCATCTCTGCGATAAGTGGGGGGTTAGGCTGGTGTTATGGTGGACGTGGAGGGCCGGATTGGAAGTATGTGTTTGTATTTGTATATACAGAAGCTACGTGAACTCCACAGCTGCTGTCTTCCCTTCACCGAAAAAATGCATGGTTATCATGAATGTACTGAAGGCAGGTTTCTTGTCACATGCAGTCGTAAATCGCGAATGTATTGAAGGCAGGTTTCTTGTCAAATGCAGTCCTAACGCCATGCAGGAAGACCGGGATCCTGACTGAGTCTTGGTGGCAGCAGTGAAAAGCCCCCAAGGTCAAAAGACGGGCGGAGAGGACCAACGCAGAAATGGAGTGGAACAGAAATTGGCCCAAGCTCGGGATGGGTCCAGGTTGGAGGACTAGGGTTCCCTCCCACCCTACCGTCTTCCCCCGAACACAACGCTCCCTCATTTTGACTGTATCGGACTGGAAAGTTAGCTTGTATACGTTCATTATCAGGGCGCGTTATGGTGGGGGGAAGACAGTAGTAGCATCCTCGAGTCCGCAACACCTGAGACCCTTGATTGTCTTGGTGCAGTCGTCCTGTCTTTTTTTTTTCTTTTTTTTTTTTTTGTCTTTTTGTCCTGTCACTTATGCTTGATCTGACATAGTATTGTTGTCTACTTTTTTTTTTTTTTTTTTTTTTCTAACAGGGCCTTATGGACCTGGCTCCTTCTATTCTGGGGAGCGTCAGTCCGGTTCCTATTCCCCCGGCAAGTCAAAATACATTACAGCAATTACCCATCACACACGCTTCCTTCCGTCAGGCCGAAGGACCCCTGAGCAGCATTGATTGCTCCACTACGGGAGGATTGACTGTCAGCTTGCCTTGTCCCTCTCTTTCCTCTCAGATCCGGAATCCAGATCTGTCAAATAAGCAATAGATCCTAGAAAGAACCCATCTGTTGACCTTACCCAACCTGGTCCGTTCCATAAGTCACTTCGCCCCCCCTTTGGGCGGTCCGCCGTTATCATTGGACTGTCAGCTTGCCTTGTCCCACTTCTCCTCTCAGATCCAGAATCCAGATGTGTCAGATCAAGCAGTAGACCCTTGAAGGATCACACCCATTGGCCTTTACCCCATCTGGTCCTTCCCAAAAGTCACTTCGCCCCCCCTTTGGACGGTCAACGGTTGACGATGGGACCTATACCCTCAGTATGCAGTCTTATCATCAAAATCGTCCAAATTAAGTCTTGGCAGATGTTAGTAAGCTTCCAGATCTCTGGGATGGGGTCCTCCTTGGCGAGCCCTGTAGATGTTCCAGTGTTGTCAGGCTTGAGCTCCTTTTCCACGTCGTCTGTTCCCCCTGGGACATGTTTGACCTCTTGCAGCCTAAGAGAAGCTTAATCTTCCGGCGACGCCTGATGTTGGGAACCCCTTCCTGGATTTGAATTATGCTATTCTTTCCAGCGTGCCAGGTCCTGTCGCAGTTCTCCAATCTTGCCCTCCACCAGCCAGGTCCTGTAGAATCTCTGCCTCTCCTTGTTCCGCTGTTCTTCGTCTTCGGACCAGGCTCGCTTGATCTTCCGCCGTCTGCACAGGATCTCGGCTTGAATCATTGTTTTAGTTTCTATCCACACTTTTTCCCGTGGGTTGGAGAGTCCTTCAATTGTTCGACTGCATCTCTCCTTCCATATGACCCATAGAGTCACCTTTCTGATGAGTTCAAACCAGGTCCTTCCGAGCCTGATCAGAGATGTTAGTCAAGAGGAGCAGTTGAATGGGTTGTTTGGGCAAGGGGGAAGAGAAGAGGGAGTCCCAGAGTGAAGACGCTTTCGCCCAGTATTCGGTTGCTTCTTTACAGAGGACTAGGCAGTGGACTATATCTTCTACCGAGCCTTCAGTACAGACTGCACATAATTCTGAACTGTCTGGGTCTGTGGTTTTCCGTCTAATGTGTAGCCATTGATTCACGGGCAGGGCTGCGTATACAATCAGCCATTGCAAGCTTCTGATCTTGATTGGTCTGATGCGTTTGAATTTTTCCCAGTGTATTCGTGTGATTTTGTCTGCTTCTTGACCCATGAGGTTCCGCCATCTGTTTTTGATGACTGGATCTGGGTTTTTGGTCTTCAGAGACAGTCTGTACCCGAGTTTAACTGAGTAGTCCTGGATCGGGATTTTTGATTTGAAATTGCTGGTGGCATTTGGCTTCCAGGCCCACTCTGCTGGGTCGAATTCCAGGGATCGGATTCCGTGTCTGGTCTGAAAATTTCCTTTGGCCATGAGCCTAGGACCCTTATTTTTCTTAGGAGGAAAGAGTCCAATATAGCTGATTTTACATTGTCGTTGAAAATAGTTGGCCTGTCCATCTTGGTGAAGGAGACCGGGAAGGAGAGAAAACTGGCTCTGGTATGTGAGCCTTGCTGCATGTGAGAGAATTGATAGGCTCTAGTAGGGGATGTCTTGAATCAACAGACCCCAATCGCCCGGTGTCCAGGACTCGTCCTTTACCAGGATATCTTTCCATTCTTGAGGAATACAATTTAGTATGTATTGGAGATTGATCTCTCGTTTGTGGCAGCCTTTCAGTTGAGCACTAACTTCTTGTTCTGTTATCCAGTCTTTTCTGTCCTCCATCCACAAGTGGTCTACTTTCCAGATACCATTCTTGATCCACGATAGCCATTTCTGTTCTAGGAAAAGAGGGTTGTTGGCTTCGTTTGTCAGCCACTCATTTCCGAAGAGCGGTTGTCTTAGTACTTCGTCTTTAGAATTAGGTTTGTTTATCTTGTTAGAGATTATTTTCCTCCATGATCGAAGCAATGCCGGCCAGTAGGGGTTAGGCGGCCGATGGTCTTCGGGTCCGTTGTTCCTCGTCCGATTCCTCCGTCCTGTGGAAATCACCCATTCTTTGTTCATTACCCAAAATAGGCCTGACATGTCTTTCGGGGAGGGAACAGGAGCTACCGATCTGATACTGTCCAGTGCCAAGTTGTTCCAGGCGCTATCCGGATACATCAGCAGTTTGATGATCCATTTAATTTGCAGAGCTTTCGTTTCTGCTCCGGGGTCAATGATTCCTAGGCCCCCATCGCGTGGTCTTCTTGTGATTGTTGTCTACTTTTAATTTTTGAAATTTGAAAATTAATTGAGTCATTGATATTGGAGGCGTGGAAAGTAGGTCGAAGGGTAGCTAAGAAAATCATAAATCACGAATTTGAAGTTTCAATATTATTTTGTAAACGTTTATCGATCACGTGTTTTTCCTTTGAGAAAAGTTATTGGCTACGAGCTTCGTCTGACTCTCATACAGTTACTTTTGCAGGCAATTGTTTTTGCAGACAATTGTTAAGTTGAAGGTCAGAGGTTCGAATCCTGTAGGATTTGCACACAATTTGTAGATAAGTATTTTTGGAGAATGCAGTACGGACTCTACTGAGTCTATAGTGTATGCTGCTCTGCATGTATGGGGCCCTGCATGTGAGATGTCTCTCTGTGAGTGGTTTTGGAAGAAGGTTCATTACAAAAGAACAGTTCTGGTGCTGCATTTTGCTGAAATTTGCATTTTGTGGGGGTGGTTCAATTTGCTGCTGTTGTGTTGTGCCTCTGTGTGAATGTTCGTTTGGGAACATGTGGGTGGAGTTGTCGTTGTTCACACTGTGCGGGTTCAATTGGGTTGACGTGACATGGCAGCATATTCCTTGTGGATGGAGTTATTATCCCGGGTGTACGGTTGCTCAGCCATGTCCATTTGAGATCGGAATTGGCGGACGGTTTCTCTGTCTCTTCAGGAGCCCATGATGATGTCAGTGGAAGGAGTAGCCGGGGCGTGCAAGGGATTACTGTTGGTGAATCGTTCCCTCAATTACTACAGTATCTCTGCAATGTAAGTGGCACCTCTCTCTCTCTCTCTCTCTCTCTCTCTCTCTCTCTCTCTCTCTCTCTCTCTCTCTCTCTCTCTCTCTCTCTCTCTCTCTCTCTCTCT